GAACTTTCAAAATCTTCTCTGCTGTTGACCTTGAAACATTTCACTTAATTGTTGTTAACTGTAGTCATTGTACAACTGTGTAGAGCAGTAGACATTGTTCCTCATATTCCCCGGATATCACAAAACCTGAGTATGTTTGTGTCCCTTGAAAATAAGGATAAGGGTGGCGGGTGGGTGTAGCTCAGTGGTAGAGTGCTGCTTTACAAGATTCCAGCACAGTGGTTCTCAACCTGTGGGTTGTGACTCCATGACCCTTTCATAGGGGGCACACATCGTATATCTTGCATATCAGATATTTACATCACAATTCATAACAGTAGCAAAAATACAGTTATGAAGTAGCAATGAAATAATTTTGTGGTTGGGGGTCACCACAACATGAGGAACTGTGTTAAAGGGTCACAGCATTAGGAAGGTTGAGAACCGCTGCTCTAGCATCACCACCAATAACAATAAAACAATCGATATAAAAATCTAGCATCCAAATTATGGAAGCTCAATGTTGACTACATTGTAACTTAAAAGCTATTTATAAAGACAGGGTATGTAAAGGTTTCATCCTCCAGTGCTGTCCCTGCACAGTGGCCATGAAAGATCTGGCAAACCTTCAGGACCTGTGGAAGTGTGAGCTAACTGTATAAAGGGGCAGGTACTGTTAGTGCCAACTAAACTGCTGCTCCCGGCACCGTTCAGCGCCTAACGCTGAGTTGGTGTGCGGAACTGATGTGATGCATTTCAGAATGCTGTGCATTGAGCCAGCTGTATATTCTAACTAGCTTCCGTTCCTAGGAAGTGTCTGTCCTCTGGCTTTAACTTGCTGTGAGCCTACCTTTATATTAGGTCTTATCTTATTTTTCTGACTAATTCCTGGCCAAGTTATATTCCTTGTGCCTAAAGAGTTAGAGCTTTGGAGTTGTGTGACTGTGCTTCATTGAGAAGTAGTTATTTAGATGTGTGTTCCACAATGGGGTGATGAGTTCATTTTATCCTGAAAATCAGCACACGGTTAAAATTCCTACTGTGAGCTCTAAGGATGGCTTCACTTGACCAGGTGTGAGGAGCTGAAGGCAGACCATGGATCTGTTAGTTTATCCTCCTGTGAGATCCATGTTCAGTCTCATTAGTGGAATTTCTCTTTTCACATTTAGCTCATTTCTTAGGTTTTAAGACAAACTCCCAGATCTCTGTGCAGAAACCTCAGTATATGGACATACCTCTTTCTTCACATCTCTGTCCCCAGTAGTGTCTCTGCACTTTCCTTGGTGGAAAGCATCATCACCCCCACTGTTGGATGCAGCTTCAGGAGAGGACTCTGCTTGCCTTTCAGATGTGTGAGAGAATGTGGTCCCAGAGATCACCCACGTCACTTTGTGTCTGCAGCAGATGAAGACGGCAGGGATGCTTGTGAGACCTAAGACACAAGGGTAGAGTGCACACAGCACCCCACCGGGGCAGGGGATTTTGTGTTACCTTGCTGACTCCTATTCTTTTGAATTCTGGCCAGTGTACAGTTTGGTTAGAAAACCCAAGTAAATTGTTTGACACAGCAAACAAATAAAACAGCCCTACCTTTTCCTACTCTGTATTTTTCTTAAGCAGCTATGTGGGGGTGGGGTGGGGGGTGCTCATCTTCTGAGGGAGATGTGCACGTTAGACTACAATGTATCCCGTATCTCGCAAACGTTAGACTTCACGAAGAGCAAACATACCTGAATGTGCTTTTCCTTTGTTACATTCTTTGGGGGGAACTATTTCCTTAGTTTTGGAAATTAGGGAAACACTGAAATTCCTAAGATTTACTGGTATTAGACCTTAAATGTCTGTCCATGTTTTCTTCTGCATTGCCTTGTTTAAGTGTGGTATATGTGTCTGTCAGTGTATCTGTCATTTTCTCTAGGCGGGAAGAGTCTACACTTCAAGTTAATTGGGTTTTGTTTTCCTTACAAAGTTGTCTGCCTGCTCCTACTACAAGAACGAGGCTTAATCTCAGGGTTTAGATTTTATGTCACAGAATTTCTGACCTGAATGTCACGATTTTTTTTTTTAAAATAAACTAGTTAGTGCTATTAGACAATTAAATTATAGCATGTGAGACACCAAAGTAGTCTAAAACTGCCGGTGTATGAAGTCCCCATCTCGTGAGATCACATGTAGTTATCCCACAGCCAACATCGTTCTCAGCGGTCGAAAACTTTAAAGCTTTCAGTTTGTGAGGAGGAGGAGGAGGAGGAGGAGATGCTCACACTTACCCCTTAAACAACCAGCCTAGCACCGAGAGGCCCAGCAAGAGCAGATTTTTAAAAAGTAAAAAGTTAGGTGTTGGAAGAACAGGTCAGCAGTTCTCAACCCTTTGGGGGTTGAACAGCTCTTCCACAGGGGTCGTCTAAGACCATTGGAAAACACGGATATTTACTTATAAATCTTAACAGTGGCCAAATTACAGTTCTGAAGTAGCAAGGAAAATAACTTTATGGTTGGGGTCACCACAACATGAAGAAGTGTATGAAAGGGTTGCAGCTTTAGGGAGGTTGGGAGCCACCCGTCTGTGTGCTACATTGTAACTAGGATTTGTTTGCAGAGTGACTAGGGAAAGTAAAACCTTTCTGTGTTTATATCCCATCTGCTAGTGACTGTTTCAGTTGAACTAAGGTGAGGCTTGTATCTGCTTAAGGAACAAAAATCACCTATTAAAGAAACTTTGTTAACCAGTTAAAGAATGATTGTGAGAAATCAATAGCTTGTAAGCTCAGTGTGCAGAAAAGTCTGTTTGTGTGTGTGTGTGTGTGTGTGTGTGTGTGTGTGTGTGTGTGTGTGTGTGTGTGCATGGCTCTATTCTCTGGACATCTTGACTTTCCAAGTTTTAGAAGTGGTCTGCATGTTTCTGGTAAAAACATTATGAAGGGAAAAGGTGAGAGAGGAAAGGAGTTATAAATACCTGTAACTGTACAAGCAGATGAAGGGGCCTGCTCTGTCTCTTTCTGTTCTTCTGAGCCTGTGTGCAGAAGAAAATGAAGACGTAAGGGGGAAGCGGGTCTGCAGGCTGGCATGTCAGCTGTGCAGGGACTGGGTGATCTAGGGAGACTGACGTAGTCAATCTGCTCTCTTTCTTTTATTCTTGTTTTTCTTCTTATCTTGGTAAGGGATTACCACTGACTCACTATCTCCCTGTCTTTTAAGAAACAAATATCTTTTCTTACTAAAGTTATTTTTTATATATTCCCCTATTACACATAGGTTAGGTTTTGGGTTAGAACATTTATTAAATTTTCATCATACATAAAAATGGCAAGACTTTTTTGATATGACTGTGAGTTTTTCTATAAAATTAAATTGTACCACCATTCTAATACATACATGGGCACTTCATAGCTCTATTAACTTGATAACCGTTTTTGAAATTCTGTGCAGTGTTCTTATGGTCACACTGTGAAGATGATTCTGTGGAGATGTCAGCGTAGGTGGTAACGGTTGGGAGAGATTTCAGGTGCCGCTCTAGAAGCAGTGTTACAGCTTAGGATCAGTCCCTGCTTCTCCCGGGCAGGACCCCAACTGTCCTCTAAAAAGAAGACATTGCATGTCCTGGGCACTCCTTTTCATGCCCCTGATCTCACTCACTTGTGCTCTTGGGAGTCTCTCGGGACTTGGAGAACACTTTTATAATAGTTAATACCGACATTATAGCTCGTCCTCAGGCTTTCTTTTTCACTGTTTTGGTAAAACATTTATGACTTATCTGATACAATTACTATATTAAGGATGAATCTGTTTATACTAAATATATGAAATAATATATTCTTTATAAATTATATCTCAGAGAAAATCTTAGCATGTAAACTTGCATGTCAAAAAGTCAATACTAAAATAATTGAGTAAGTTATATACTTCTTGGAAAAAATAACAGCTTTTCAGTAGGAATTTTAGAGATTTTGGAATGTAAAAAATTTAGATGTTGATAAATGAATAGGCAAGTAGTATAACTTTTGTGCTGTTCTTAATTAAACAAAAGCCTGATTAAGCTTTGTGAGAAACGACTATCATTTTAACTTACTATTTGCTCCCATTTAAGAAGCTATAGAAAAGGTTGTCCATTTGAAATTATAGTTTAAGTTTACATTCCGTCAGGGAAAACAGGGCCTGCAGGACGCTTTCCCTGTGCAGTGCTTCTGTGATTGAACGGATGACACTACAGCTGAATGTACTTAAGCCAGCTGTGGTGTGTGGATGTCGTGATTGCTGTGTGAGTAGGGCTGAAGTGAGAAGGATTTTCATTGTTTTTATGAATGTATTTGTGATACAGTTATTTCAATCAGAATGAACTATTTATTTACATTTATTTTTGAGATAGGGTCTCCCTGTGTAGCCTAGACTGGCCTGAAACTCCTTGCATATCCTAGAGGATCCTTACACTTGGTGGCAGTCTTCCTACCTCAGCCTCTTGCTCCTAGGACTACCACACCCAATGCGATCCCCCTCCCTTCTCAGTGTGTAGCTCAGGCTGGCCTTGAACTCACAATCTTTTCACTTTAGCCTCCTGAGTAGCTAGGATTATAGGATTGTACCACATCACCACAGCTGGCCAGAATGAGATTGTATGAAGAATAAATTTGTCAGTTTGCTTTTGGAATTAGGAAGAACTTTGTAATTTAGTTACTTGATCCATTTAATTCTGCAGCTAGTGATAGTGAGAATCAAAGTATGGAGTAATGACGTATCAAAGGTGACACCTTTGGGTAAAATAAAACCCAGAGCTCACTCTAGTGATTTTCACATTATACCTGTGATTCTCTGAAAACCAATCTAGGTAATGTAGAAGAAAGGGGGGCGGTGGGAGAATGGTAGAGGAAAAGGGCATTCTACTGCACCCCCTTCCTGTGACCACAGGGTTAGGAGCTGACCTACAGGTCTGCAGAAAGCTGTTTAGACATAATGCATCCAGGCTTACTGTGGCCAATGCTCAGAGATCTGATGTTGTGCTAATAAGATTAATATTTGCTTTTTAGGTGAGAGTTACGTGTGTGCCTCCAATGAACCATTTCGTAAAGTTGATTACACCAAAAACGTTAATCCGAACTGGTCTGTGAACATCAAGGGTGGTACCACCCGAGCCTTGGCCGTGGCCTCTGTGAAAAGTGAGGTGAAAGAAAGCAAGGATTTCATCAAACCCAAGTTAGTGACTGTGATTCGAAGTGGAGTGAAGCCTAGGAAGGCTGTGCGGATCCTTCTGAATAAAAAGACTGCCCATTCCTTTGAGCAGGTCCTAACGGATATCACCGAAGCCATTAAACTAGACTCGGGCGTGGTCAAGAGGCTGTGCACCCTGGATGGAAAGCAGGTAAGATGCTTCTTCCTGTGGCTCGCCACCTTGCCTTCATCTCGTTTACGTGCTGATTATCTTTGCTAGGGGTTGAAGAGACGGTCTGGAACTTGCTGTACAGGACAGGCTAAGCTTGAACTTGTCCTCCCATGTGTTCAGCATGTCCGACTCCTTGTGCTGCTGCAGTTATATCTTCAACAACAGAATGTAGTGGGCTCCTGGAAGTAATCCTAGCAGGTTTACATGAGGAGTGTGTGTGTGAATTAACCTTTGGCAAGAAGGATGTAAGGGCTTCCCCTTTCTCCAGATATCTCAGCATCTGTGTCATCTTCAGTTCATAGAAGGAAAGATGTAAAGTTCCAGGGAAAAGTATAAGTTGAAGTGGTGCCCTATGCTAAACGAGATGTTATCCAGGAATAATTATCAATTAGTGTTTGTTGGTTTGTATATCACAGAAATAAAAATAAAAGATAGTTGATGTATTTAACCTATCACAGAAATAATAAAGATATTTAGCATGTTTTCCTCCATGATGTGTAATATGGAAATTACATATTACATATAATACATAAAAAATGCATTTCAAAAGGAAGTATTGTCACAGGAATGTCCACATACATTTCTTCAAGAACAATAGAGGCAGTTAGTCAGCATTTCTGAAAAGTGAATAGTTGACTAGAAATATGGAAGTAGAATTACAGGAACAATGTATCAAAGAATCTAATGTGCTTTGAAAACTTGGGCACAGTATAAAAAAGCATGAATAGTGATGTGAAAGTCGAGTTTTGCCAGAAGTTGATTATTCTTAAAGACAAACGGGCTCCCAAAGTGTATTTTCCCAAATTGCACAAAACTAAATTATTTATATTTGTATTACATTAAAATTTTAGTTTTCAATGTTAAATTTCTAAATTTTATTTCTTCCCTCAACATACCTCATTTTGAAATTTTGGCTCCTGTAATGATGAGAAGGAGCACTGTCTAGACCATCAGAGAAGAATCTTCTGGAAAACATGACAAAGCCTCCAACTGTCTAAGACCGGATCTAATGACTAGGGTGCTTGCTACAGTATTTCATAAAAATTTCAATACAGGTTCTCGGGCTTGGGAGTTAGCTCAGGAGGAAAGTGTGTGCTTGCTGTGTTCAAGACCCAGGGTTCAGTCCTGAGCACCAAAAATAGATATGAAAGGCCAAGCGTGATGGCCTTGAATCCTTGTACTCAGGACCCTGTCTCAGAAAAATAGAGGAACAGCAGCAGCAGCAGCAGCAGCAGCAATAACAACAAAACCCCAAACAAAATAACCCAGAAAACTAAAGAAGTAACAATAGGTGCCGAGGTTCTAGCAGAATAGATTAGGACGCTGGGGTTAATGATCAGATAGCTCCACAGTGTGAATGAAAACAGACACCTGTGCAAAAGAATGGATATCCAGCACAGGATAACACGAGACAACCTAAGATTTACTTTGCATGTTTGTGAAAAGAAGTCAGGCCACAGGAAAATGTGGTCAGATTTTTCTTTGGGCCACCAGCCAGCTCCCAAGTAATAACACGGCAACTTCTTATTATGAAAGCTCGGCCTACAGCTTAGGTTTGTTCCTCACTAGCTCTTACAACTTAAATTAACCCATTTATATTAATCTGCATTCTATCACATGATGTTGCCTCTCTTCCATCTTACACCTCCTGTTTCTTCTCTCTATCTCCTGGCGTCTCCCCCGTGCCTAGATTCCCCCTCTCTTCCTTCCTTCCCCCAGAAATCCCACCCATACCTCCTGCCTAACTGTTGGCTGTTTAGCTTTTTATTACACGAATCACAGCCATACACCTTTACACAGTGTACAAATATCCCACGACAGGAAAACAAGATAAGGTGAATTAGAAAGACAGTTCTGGTTGGCACAGGGAAGACAGGAAGAAAAGAGACAATAAATATTTAACATGTTGAACCAAAAGAAAAAGTAACCTAAATATGTCAAATTAGAAAACCGTAAAAATAAGGCATAGCTGGTCGTGATGGCACATGCCTGTAATCCCCGCTCCTGGACAGCCGGGGCAGGTGGATCTCTTTCTCTCTCTCTCTCTCTCTCTCTCTCTCACACACACACACACACACACACACACACACACACACACACACACACGATGGCACATGCCTGTAATCCCCACTCCTGGACAGCCGGGGCAGGTGGGTCTCACACACGCACACACACATACACACACACACACACACACACACACACACACACACACACACACACACACACGTGTGATGGCACATACCTGTAATCCCCGCTCCTGGACAGCCAAGGCAGGTGGATCTCACACACACACACACACACACACACACACACACACACACACACACACACTCACACACACCTTCACACACACACACACACACTCACTCACTGAGTGAAAAAGAAGGGTGTCATACAACAGTAATTACAGATGAGATTTCAAAAATGAGAACTCTGATTTGGAAATCTCCAAATGAATGGCATTCATGGAATATGTAAGTAAAACAAAGTAATTGAATATCAAATTGAAGTAGGAAATATTGAAATTTTAGTATAGCCAAAAGAAGCTCTTCAAAAAGATTTTGCATTAGAAATGTCAATTCTTTTTTAAGTAAAAAATGTGTTGGAGAATTTCCTACACAAGCACTATATATTTACATCATTTCCATCTCTTCTCTTCCCCTCTTCAATGCCTCTCGTGTTCCCTGCCCACACTACCTCTCAAATTCATGACTACTTCTGTAATTATTGTGGCACCCATATCTCCCCCATACACACAACAACCTCACAAGTGTATTTCGTGTTGCTCGTATGTGCATGTTGTACATGTGTTAAGGGTTGACCGCTTGCAGTTGGATAACCTATCTAGATGCTTGTCCCTGGGGAAAACTGGCTCTCCCTCTTACAGCTGCTGTTCCTTGCCTGTAGCTCTTCTCTTCATCAGGGGGTGGTGCTGTATATTGGGTGTGGGTGTTTGTAAGAGTCCATGGAATCAAGAGACAGAGGCACCTCAAGGATGATTCTTTCCAGCTGCAGGGGGGAATCCATGTCTATGGACTGGTCCACTGTACCTTAGCAAAGGGCCCTTTTATTCTCCAATTTACACCTTTTAGCAAGTTAAAAGTTAAAAGTTTGTACCCCAACACCTCTCATCTAAGCTTCCCAAAGAGACAATGCTAAATGCATATTCTCTGCTGAAGAGTACCTGCGGTGTTCTGGATTCTTCTTCAACCAAATTTGCATAGGCTTTGGCCCTTCAGAAAACTCTCAGACAAGATTCACATAGAGGGTACCAGGAAACAAAAGGTAGCTATCACAAAAGGCAGATTAAGGCTAGGTACTAAGGCTCTGGAGTCAAATCAGCTGTAGCTCTGCAGGAATTCTCCCAACAGGGTGGGGCTTTGTGAAATTTCCCTCATCCACATTGGCATGTCAACTGGTGGTGTCATTATGCAGGTTTTGTTTAGGTAACTCTATGGTCGAGATTTCGTGGGTACAGTTTTTCTGTCATGTTTAGAAGATATTAGCAACAGGTATCCTGAGATTTCTGGCTCTTAAAATCTTTCTTCTTCCTCTTCCATGATTTTTCTGAGCCTTAGGAGTAGGAGTTAATTTGTAGGAAAACCAATTGGGGCTGAGCACCCATGGTCACTTACTGTCTGCGTTTTGACCAGTTGTGTATCTCTGAAATAGTCTCTATCGCCTACAAAAAGAAGTTGGTGGTGTTTTGTTTTTGTTTTTGGAGGGGTGAGAGTTACACTTATCTTTGGGTATAAGAGTAATCATTTAGCGGGGCTGGAGAGATGGCTGCTCTTCCAGAGGTCCTGAGTTCAATTCCCAGCAACTACATGCAGCATACCCTCCCCTCTAAAAAAAAGATAAGCATTTAGAATATGGTTAGAAATTATGTTGATTTTGGAAAATGGCAATTGGGTGTTCTCCTCTATGGTTTCGGACCTCTCTAGCCATAGATATTTGGCTAGGTTTATAGTACTAGGTATGTGTTCCCTCCTGTTAAGTAGACCTTAAGTTCTACTAGACAGATGTTGGTCATTCCCATGATAAAAGTGTCATTATACCATTATTGCACCATTGGAGTATCTTGCCAGGAAGGCATCATTGAGGTTCACAAGTTTTATAGCTGGGTAGGACTGGTGATCGCTCCTTTCCTTGGCAGCTTGCAAAGCATCTTCAGGGACCACTAGAGCTAGTCCTTGGGGAGGAGGCTTCCAGGTCAGTTCCAACTCTGTTCCCCCAAGTTCTGTGCCTGAAGTGTGTGACGTCTTCAGCAAAAGAACTGAAACTTTATCAATAGCTATGTTGAAATGGAAAAGAATTTTCCAAGAATAAAAGTAGTGGGAAAATTATAAAAAAGGAAGGTTGATTGGACTGTATAAAAATGAAATTTCTAGTTGTCAAGCAGCAGTTTTATGTTTTATGTTGAGTTATGGCAACTTAATATTAAGGGGATACTGGAAAAGTGGATCAAAGTGTGAACAGTTTGAAAACACAGACATATACAGTAACCATTAACAGTGTGTAAACTAACATTGAAATGTTTTGAGGACTGGGATTGTGACTCAGAGTGGAGTACTTGTTTAGTTGTTGGTTATGCCACCGAGCTGCCCCTCGTGGCTGGTCACCGCCCACGGCGGCCATGCCCGCGGAGGAGCGTGCTGATTAAAAGAATCATAGCCATGGTTACTTTTTTAGAGCTTTATTGGGGGGGGGGGGGAGACAGAGAAAGACAGAGAGAGAGAGAGAGAGAGAGAGAGAGATGGGGGGGGGGGGGGAGCGCAAAGGAGAGGGGACAGAGAGAGCCCACAGAGGGCCCATCCCCTTTTTAGGCTGGGAAGCCGGCAAAGGCTGATGACGTAATTAAGAACCAAAACCTTACATTAGTGTGAGTGAGACCTGGGCTTTATTCCCAGTATCACCCAACAGTCCTTCAGTCTTCCTTTTTGGTGCTTAAAATTGATTTTTTTTTTTTAATAAAG